GTGGTGGCTCCTGCCTGTAATCCCAACACTTTGGGAGGTTGAGGGGGGCAGATCACCTGAGGTCAGGAGATTGAGACCATCCTGGCCAACATGGTGAAACCCAGTCTCTACTAAAAATACAAAAATTAGCTGGGCGTGGTGGTGCATACCTTTAATCTCAGCTAGTCGGGAGGCTGAGGCAGGAGAATTGCTTGAACCCGGGAGGCGGAGATTGTAGTGAGCCAAGATCACACCATTGCACCCCAGTCTGGCAACAGAGCAAGACTCCATCTTGGAAAAAAAAAAAAAAAAAAAAGGTAGTATTCATGTTAATCATGTTAATTTTTCTTTAAATATTTGAGACTTTACTGGTGAATCCATCTGATCTGGGCTTTTCTTTTCTGAAAGTTTTTGATTACTGACTCAATCACTATACCTGTTAAATAACAGCTTCCCTTTATCTTGTCTCCTCAGCTCCTGGTAACTATCATTCTATTTTCTATAGCTATGAATTTGAATATTTTGGATATATCAGTGTCTGAGTCTGTTTCTTGCGGCTATAACAGAATACCAGATGATGGGTAATTTATAAAGAAAAAACATTATTTTTCACAGTTCTGGAGACTGGAAAGTCCAAGATTGAGGGTTCAACATCTGGTGAGGGCCTTCTTGCTGTGCCATTTTATGCTTGATGGTGAGAGGATGGTGGGGGCAGGCAAATTCATCCTTTTATAATAAACACACTGAGTGATAATGGCATCAATCCATTCATGAGGTCAGAGCCCTCATGGTCTAATCATTTCTTAAAGATCTTACCTCTTAATATTGTCACATTGGGGATCAAATTGTCAAAACAAGAACTTTGGGGGACACATTCAAACTATAGCACTCATATAAACTGGCATCTTACTGCAGTTGTCCGTTTGTGACTTATTTACTTCATATAGCATAATATCTTCAAGGTTCACCCACATTGTAGCATGTGACAGAATATCCTTCCTTTTTAGGGCTGCATAGTATTCCACTATACTTATATTCCATATTTTGTTTATCCATTCGTCCATCAGTGGACATTTGGGTTGCTTCTGCCTCTTGGCTAATATGAATAATGCTGCTATGAATGTAAGTGCTACAGCTTGAATATTTGTCCCCTCCAAAACTCATGTTGAAATTTAACCCCAATGTGGCAGTATTGAGACATGGATCCTTAAAAAATGATTGGATCACAGTGGGCAGAGCTCTTATGAAATGGATTAATCCACTCATGGACTAATGGATGAATGGGTTATCATGGGAGTGGGACTGGTGACTTTATAAGAAGAGGAAAAGAGACCTGATTTAGCATACTGATTCCCCTCACCGTGATGTGATGGAGGCACTATGCCAATTCAGGACCCTGCAGAGACTCACCAACAGCAAGAAGGCCCTCACAAGATGTAGCCTCTTGATCTTAGACTTCTCAGTCTCTATAACTGTAGGAAATGTATTCCTTTTCTTTATAAATTACCCAGTTGTAGGTATTCTGTTACTACAACAGAAAATAGACTAAGATGATAGTTGTGCAAATATCTCTTCAAGACCCTGCTTTTAATTCTTTTGGATGTATACCCAGAAGTGGGAATGCTGGATCATTTGGTGGTTCTATTTTTAATTTTTTTGAGGATCAGATTATGTTTTGATGTATAATTCAGATACCATATAATCCACCATTATAGAGTATACGATTCAGTGTTTTTTTTAGTATGTTTACAATGCTGTGCCACCATCATCACTATCTTATTTCAGAAGGGTTCTATCACCCCAAAAAGAAATTTATAACTGTTAACAGTCACAACCCACTTCCCTGTCCTCCTCAACCTGAAGCAACCACTAATCTACTTTCTGATATGTGGATTTTCCTATTATTGTTATTTTGTATAAATAAAATAATGTGTTTCCAAGGCTGATACATGTTTTAGCATGTAAAAAAATTTCATTTGTTTATTGTCAAATAATATTCTACTGTATGGATAGACCACATTGTGTTTATTCATTCTTCAGTTGATGAATATTTGGATTGTTTTCACCTTTTGGCAGTGTGAATAATGCTGCTTGATATGGTTTGGCTGTGTCTCCACCCAAATCTCATCTTGAATTGTAGCTCCCATAATTCCCATGTGTTGTGGGAGGACTCAGTGGGAGATAATTGAATCATGGGGCAGTTTTCCCCATACTGTTTTCATGGTAGTGAATAAGTCTCATGAGATCTGATGGTTTATAAGGAGAAACTCTTTTCACTTGGCTCTCATTTCTTTCTTGTCTGCTGCTGTGTAAGACGTGCTTTTCAGCTTCTGCCATGATTGTGAGGCCTCCCCAGCCATGTAGAACTGTGAGTCCATTAAAACTTTTTCTCTATAAATTATCCAGTCTTGGGTATGTCTTTATCAGCAGCATGAGAGTAGTCTAATACACTGCTATTAACATTTTTGCATAAAATTTTGTGTGAACATGTTTTTAATTCTCTCAGGTTGTATACTTAGAAGTGGAATTAGGGGGTTATATGGCAACTCTATGTTTAACTTTCCAATGACTTGCCTAATTATTACCCCAAGTGGCACCACAATTTGACAGTTTCACCAGCAATATGTGAGGATTCCACACTTCTTCAGTATTTGAACCATGTTGTCCATCATTTTATAAGAGCCATTCCTGTGTGTATGAGGTGGCATCTCATTGAGATTTTTATTTGCATTTCTATGATGACTAATGATGCTTAACATCTTGTTCATGTGGCTATTGCCCACTTCTGTATCTTCACTGGGGACATATATACCCAGATCCTGTGTTTAAAATACAATGCTTAAAAACCATTTTTTAAAAAACCAGAGGGGAGGGAAAACCTAATGCATGTTTAAGGAAAGGCGATTAACCTAGGTTCAGTAAGGCATAAAGTCTGAGTGTAGAAGTTGAGGAGAGTGTACGAATGCAGACTGGAACCATTAATAATTACTTGTTTAATATTAATTTATCTCACATAGAATGTAATTCTTATGGCATAAGGATGTGTGTCTGTATTGTTCTGTGATTTATCCCAGTACCTAGCACAGTACTTAACAAACAGTAGAGTCTCAGTAGGAATATGTTGAATGAGTGAATGAATTAATAATTGAATTAAACAAATAGGTTTCAAGAAAAGATTTTAAATGAAGACTTGGGATCATGGTTCATTAGAGGAAAGCTTTTGAAGGAGACAAGGATGCAAAGTTAAATGTCATAGAGGTTGGCCATGTCTTTGAAAAATAATTAAAACATATATGCATCAAAGAACAGAGAAATGTGAAAAATCTATTGCCCAGGAGCCTGGACAAAATTGAGCTTCTTAACCAAAATTCACATTCAGAAGTAAAGAAAAGTTGGAGGAGACAAATATAGGTAGGTAGGTGTCTCCATGATCAGTTAAACTGCCAAAGGGCTTTTTTGTAGAACATAGGGGAAGGGCAAATAGGGGGACAATACAGGCCTCAAAGACATCAGTAGGCATGGGGCTTCTCTCTTTGCATGGAGGCAGCATGAATTGAAATCCAGGAATCCGGAAATGTTCAATAAATCTTGGGGCCAGGCCCGAGGGCCTTCTTACAGAATGATGTGCATAGGCCTAGTGGTAGCCGCAGCAAAGTCCACCACCATCAGGCCACCAGACACATCCTGGCCTGAGGACATGGAGTAACACTAGGTATTCAGTAGTGTTTGGATTCTGATGATGAAAGACTGAGCAGAGAGCATACTGCCTTTGAGTACATTGCTGTCCCTATTGTTTCTTTATGTGGTAACAAGAACGTTTCTAATGTATCATCATGTCTGAAGTTGGGATTATAAACACATTTCATACCAGAATTCTATGTAGCCTGATGGGAACTTGAAATGACCACATGGATAGGTTTTTTGGAGGCAGAAACAGATCAGATCTGTGTCGCAGCTCTTCCACCTCCTACTTCTTACTTCTGGGACTTTGGGCCAGGCCCCAAGTCTTTCCTGCCTTAACTTCTTCATGTATAAAATGCCACTGATAATGGCATCTATCTCATAGGGTTCTTGGGAGGATTAAATGAAGTAATGTTTAGAGCAAGCTTGGCACATAGTTATTAAGATCTGATCCCAATCAACAAACCTCCAAGATAACTGGCCTCTAGGACAAAGAGGACAGGTCCACTATGCCTTATCTGAAATCCTTTGAATAGTGCAAAAGCACCATTTATAAAAGGGAAACTATAAACTGTACCTCATCAAAATTAAAACATGAAAGATGTTGAAAATACAGTCTACTGTCTGAAAAGACTAGGTGAAAGTATTCAAGAACCATATATCTGAAAAAGGACTGGGACCTAAAATATATATATATATTTGAGACTAGCCTGGGCAACATAGTGAAACGCTGTATATTTTTTTAAAAAGGTGGAAAAATTTAAAAGTGGCATTCCACATCAATACCTCAACATAAGGAAAATGCAAATTAAAACCACAATGGGATATCACTATACAGCTATCAATGAGAATGTTTGAAATAAAAATAGTAATAATAACAAATGCTGCTGAGGGTATGAAGAAATGGAATCACTCATCCATTGCTGTGGGAATGTGAAATGGTAGAGTCACTCTGGAAAATCATTTCTTTAAAAAGTGAACATGCAACTGCTGTATGACTAGCAATTGTACTACTGAGCATTTGTCCCTGATAATGAAGACTTGTGCTCATGAAAAAAATTGTATATGAATATTCATAGCACACTTAGTTGTAATAGAAAAACAAAACAAAACAAAATTTGGAAATGTCCCAAATGTCTTATAGTAGGTGAATAGTTAGAAAAAAATACTGTGGTATATCCACCGTGGAATATTACTCAGTTATGAAAATTATTTAACTTTTAGTGTGTACCACAGTCTGGATGGCTCTCCATGGAATTATGCTGAATGGAAAGAGCCAATCCATAAAGTTACAGACAGTAGGATTCAATTTGTATAATGTTCTTTTTTATTATTTATTCATTTATTTTAAACTTTTATTTTAGGTTCAGGGGTACATGTGCAGGTTTGTTATATAGGTAAACTCATGTCATGGGAGATTGTTGTACAGATTATTTAATCACCCAAGTATTAAGCCTATTATCCTATATAATGTTCCAATATTCTTGTAATGACAAAATTGTAGAATTGGCAAACAGATTAGTGATTGCCAGGATTATGGATGGGTGCTGGGGTCTGGGAGGGAGGTACATATGTTTATAAAAGGGTAAATGAACAATCCTTGTGGTAATGAAACTGTTCAGTATGTTGACTGTGCTTTCAGATATGTAAGCTTACATATGTGATAAAAATTACATGGAACAAAATACACACACACACCCAAGTGGGCACAAGCAAAACCAGGGAAATGTGAATAACATCGGAGGATTGTACAAATGTCATTGTCTTGGTTGTGATCTTATAGTATGGTTTTCCAAGATGTTACCCTCTGGGGAGACTGGATCTAGGTTACATGGAATCTCTCTGCATTATCTCTTACATCTACATGTGAATCGACAATTACCTCAACTAAGATTTCAATAAACATATAGACAGTGACAGATAAAGTGCCCCTAGTTCTAAAAGTAAATCGGAAATAAAATAAAGCAATGAGACGGAACCTGTCTCAGAGAAGCGAGAGGAGCAATTTCTGCTCCGAGCACCGTGTAATGAAGCCTGATCCAGGGCCCTGTCTGGACTCCATGGGACAGAGAACCTCATCAGTGATGTCTGCCCTCATGAAGGTGGGAGGGTCCTCAGAGCTAGTGCTGCATATTTGCCACCCATTTGCCACTCATTCTGTGTGGAGTGCCTGTCTGACAATGTTAGTGTGGCACTGTGACATCTAGGGGCTTTTGAGGCAGCAGGGCCTGTTTAGGGCCTACAAATCCCATCACTATAGGCCACTCCCTGCAAGTCCAAGTGGGGTTCCATGAGTGCACTGGCTTCTACACTAGCCGGATCCCTAAGGGGCTGGGGCTGCGGCTAATGTACCAGAAGCTGATATTCACTGAACGCATAGTTGGGGCCAGGCCCTGTGCTCTTCATGAATCAATTTACAAAGTGCTCTGCATGCATCAATTGACTTAATCCTTGCCACAGCTCTATTGCTTACTTTTGAAAACCAGGCTTTCTGGTTCCCAGATGTCCTAAACTTAGTGTATTAGGTGTTCATTCTGCCTGTGGGTCATTGGCTGATATTGACTTCTTCGTAGAACACCTGAGAGGTCCTTGAGAGTGAACTCACATCAGCCACTCCTCAGTCACCTCCTGTCTCCTGTGCCCCAGGATTGCTGGCTAATTAGGAAGTGGCCATGTGGGACCATGCTGGGATCCTGGACTCTCCACAGCCACCACATCCTGTGGCCAGACAGCAGGGCTCCAGGGCAGGGATCTTGAATAACTATATCTGACCTGTGTGGAGCGTTGCCTGGGTGCCAGACCCTGTGCTCAGTGTCACCCTTATCCTCTGACTTCATCCCCATCAGTGTCCTGTGAAATTGGTAGGATTTCCATCCCTTTCTCGTGATAAGGAGATTAAGGGTTACGGAGAAGTTGCCTGAGTCCACAAAGCTGGTCAGTGGTGAGCAGTAATTTGCACCCAGGTCTGGCTGACCCCAGAGCCCATAGTCAAGTTCAGAGCCCTACATAGGGCTCAATAAATATGTAGTAGCTGAATGAAAGGCAACTGGATAAAGCTCATCCTGGGGCAGTAGTAGTGGTCCTTAGGGTATGTGTCCTGAAATGAGGTAGCAAACCTGTCAGCCGGGGTAATGCGTGTGATCCCAGCTTGTGCTAAAGGATCCATCTCCTTATAGCGGCATCAAGGAAAGAATTGTTCATGTTTGTTGAGCACCTGCTATACCTCTGTTCTGGGCTGCACTTCAAGGATGAATGAGATGGGGTCCCATGTTTTAGAAAACACTCAGTGTTTCTCTGGACACCAATGTCAGTTGTGAACTTCATGGTGTTTACCTGCTGTTTTCATCTTGTGAGGTCCCTTCCTCCTTGTCACCTTGCTTCTGATCACCACCTAGGCTGTCTGGTATAGGTTTCACTTAGGGATTTTAGACTGTTTTGTGATTGTGCTTGACTGGGCCTCTTGATATGGTGGCGTAACCCTCATTTCAGCATGTGTGTATATCGGGGGGTGCTGAGAAGGTACATTATGTCCAGAATGTAAGCCCCCTTGCTTTTTCAAGTACCTTTTCCATGCGCTTTCTTAATTTGTTATTGATATAGATTAAGACAATTCTCTTAAATTACAAATTTCAAGTAGCATCTCTGAGCCTTAGCTTTCTTATCCATATTTCATGGGGTCCTAGGACTGGACCAGTGTTCCACAGATATGTGAGGACTTGCCCAACGATACACACTGGATGTGGTGCAGAGATGGATTCCCCTGTCCCCATGGGACGTCTGCTATATTTTGCTGCAGCACACTTCTTGAAGCAGCTCACTGTGGTGGAGTATAGGAATCACAAGTGGTAGATAAATACAGACCTTGGATAAATCTCAGCTCCTCCATTTCCAACTTTTTTACCTTGGAGAGTCGAATTAAGGTAGTTTAGCCTCAGTTTTCGTCTCTGGAAAATGGTAATACAAATAGGACCTGACTTGCAGACTTGGCTTGATAATTAAATGGTATGATGTATATAAAGTGCCTGGGTCTTTGCAGATGACATTTATATCCATGTAGAATATTCCAAAGGATTGATAAAACATTCTCCTGCAGCAAATAAGTGGTTAGTCACAGGATGTAAGGTTAACATACAGAAGTTAATTTCTTTGTTATATAACAGCAATGAACAATTGGAAATAAGATTTAAGAACAAATAGCATTTAAAATAGCACCAAAATTTAATTACTTAGGTACAAATGTAACAAATATTTGCAGGATTTATATGTAGAAGGCTACAATGTTCTGATGAAAGAAATCAAAGAAGACCTAAATAAATGGAGAGTTATCTCACATGAATGGACTGAAAAACTCAGTGTTGTTAAGAAATTGATTATTCCAAACTTGACCTATAGCTTCAATGCAATCCCAATCAAAATCCTATCAAGCTATTTGTAGATATCCACAAACTGATTCTAAAATTTATATGGAAAAACAAAAGGCCTAAAATAGCCAACAAAATACTGACGAAGAACAAAGTTGGAGGACTCAGACTACTGCTATGATTTGAAGACTTACTATGAAATGACAGAAATCAAGATGCTGTTGCGTTAGTGAATGAATAGACAAGTAAATCAATAGAACAAAATAGAGACCTCAAAAAATAGATCCACAAAAATATAGTCAACTATTTTTTGACAAAGAAGCAAAGTCAATTCAATGGAGCAAAGATAGTCTTTTCAACAAACAATGGTGAAACAACTGGACATTCATATAAAAAAGAATCTAGTCATAGACCTTATATCTTTTCTCAAAATGAACTTGAAATTGATCATAATAGATTACAGACTGAAATGTAAAGTTCCCAGCATGTGGCAGATGCTCCATCAGTGGTCACTGTGGGTATTTGGAAGTGTTCTGAAGCTTTGTGAGATGGCTGGCCAAGAACTTGTGGTGCTTGAGTGAAGCTGAGTGGGCCTTGTAAGAAGCCTGATGTTACCCCAGTGTGTCCAGGGGACCACCTGTATCAGAATCACATGAAGTCTTTATTACTAAGGCAAATTCCTAGGCTTGCTGCAAATGGAGACTCCCTGTGCCTTGTATTTTTGTTTGCATTTTCATTTTTCTAGAACAAAACCCACAGGTGATTTTGATGCATATTTAGGTTTGAGAATTTTCGGCATATGGGTTAGCCAAGATAAGGAGTCAGTCACCACCTGGGTTCCAATTATAGCCCCACCATTTTTCATATTCCATGGTGTAGTAGAAGAGAGAATAGGTTCTAGATTCAGAGGAATCTGGCTTTCATATCTGCCTCTGCCTCTTATTGACTGTGTGACCTTAGGCAAGACACCCTTCTCTCTAAGCCTTGATTATTTTGCTAAACGAGGAGAGTAAAATAGTGATTCTTTTCTCCTAGGCTTGTTGAGAGGTTTAAATGAGACAAATCCTGGCTTCATGTGTGTTCTATCAGTGTCTGTTGAATTGCATCTGAACAGCTACCCAAAGGAACACAGGAAAGTGGGGCATTTGCTTGGTTGTAGGGTAGCTGCAGAGAGTGTTTTGGGAAAGCCAGAAGCCATGAGTGAGCCATGTGTGATGTCACAGAAGAGATGGAAGTGATGCTGGGGGGCTCAGGGGTTTAGCCTTCTTTGGGAGCTGGATGCCTGCTCTCAGTCAGAAATGGTCTTGCTGGTGGAGACATTCAAAGTCTTAGTGGCTGCCTGCTTTCTGTCTTCAGGGTATGAAAAGCCATTTATAGACCATAGCTATCCCCTTCAAGAACTAGCATTTTCAAAGGAAGCTGTTTTTAATGTGCGTGCTCTTCTCAAGATGAGAAAAAAAACTCCTGAGCCCCCTCTGCTGGCTGTATTGGAGAACAGGAGAGTAAATTAGAACGTTCTCTTAAAAACCTGCACATGCTCACAGGGGCATAGAGACACCTACAATTACAGAACAGAGAGCCACATATACTCACATGCCTTTGCATACAACACACACACAAAGACATACACAGCATATACTTACATGACACAGCTACGTTAGTGCAAGGTGGTTGAAGGTACAAACTCTGGCCTCACACAGACCAGCTGGGCATCTCCTAGATCTGCACAACCCCGGACAGGTTGCTTAATTTTTAAATTTTGTTATTTAAAAATATATATACATAAACATATGAATAATGTGCATATATTACATATAAAAATATCTATACTATAATGTATGAAAAGGGTCCATTTAATATATAGTAAGCACTTGGTAAATGGAAGCTATTATCTCCTTCTATTATTGTTGTTATTAAGCGAAATTCAACCTTTCAGAGCTTCAATTCAATTTTCTGTAAACTGAGAGCGATAGCGAATGTTCACATGGTGCTTACTAGGGGCTGGTACTGTTCTAAATGATACCTAGGTATTTTCTCATTTAATCTTCACAATAACCTTATAAAGTAGGTACTATTATTATTCTCCTTATTTTACAGTTTAAAAAATGAGTATCAGGAAGGATTCGTGGTTTGTCCATGGTCACGTGTCTAGGAAGTGGAAGAGCTGGGATTAAAGCAAGCAGCCTGGCTCCAAATATTCATCTTAAACAGGACACTACACCTGCCTCATGGATAGGATTAAATGCAATACTTCCTGCAAAGTGCTTAGCACAGTGCTATGCACATCGTAAGCAGTAAAAACCAACTGCTATTACTCATTTTTCAACTTTGCCACTTACTAACTGGGTCTACACAGATATATACATATCTGTGGGCACATAGAGAGGTTAACATGTAGATGTGTACACACACATTCAGATACACAGATGCATACATAGATACACACAGATGTATTTATTCACCAGTAGAGTCAATGACATTTATTGAACAAACAGTACATTATTTGGCTGAAGCTGTTCTAGGCTTCTGCACTGGAGATGCAGCATTGAAGAAAACAGACAAAATTTCCTGGTCTTGTGGGTCCAACATTCTAGTGGATGAGAAAGAAGATAAACCACATTTTAAAATACTATATAATTGGATAGTGAAAAGTGCTCAGGAGAAAATATAAACAGAGGAGAGAGATATGAAATGCTGGGTAGGGGGTTGATATTTTACTTAAGGGTGGCTAGGGAAGGTACAATAAGGAAGATACCTTTTTGAGTAAAGATCTGAAGGAGAGGAGAGAGCAAGCATGCAGCTGCCTGAAACAAGAGATTTCCAGGCTGAGGAAATATCAGAGTCAAGTGCCCTGAGATTGGAGAATTCCTGGCATGTTCAAGTATTAGTGAGGAGGCCAGTGTGTCTGAAGTGGGCTGAAAGAAAGGGACAGTAGTAGATAAGTGGGGATGGGTCAGATCGTGTAGGTCTTTATAATCAGTATAAGGGCTTTGGATTTTCCTGCATGATGTAGAAACGTGGCAAGATTTTGAGCAGGGGAATGGCATGATCTAATTTATGTTTTTAAAATTAACACATAATAATTGGACTTCTAATTTGTGTTTTAACAAGATCACTCTGGATTCTCTTTGAAAACAAGCAGAAGCAAATTAATGATAAAATCTCAAATACTAGTTAGGAGGCTATCACTTAAGTCCAAGCAAGACGTGATGGTGGATTGGGTTAAAGTGATATGAAGGGAGATGGCGAGAGATATTCTCCATATATTTTGAGAATAGAGCCAACATAATTTACTGATGGATTGGGTTAGAGTTGTGAGAAAAAGAGAGAAGTCAAGATGATGCCAAGACATTTTGCCTAAGCAACCAAAAGTGTGGAATTGCCATTAACAGATGGCCAAGACCATAGAAAGAGCTGATTGGTATGGGAGATCAAGAATTGGTTTTTGAATATGTTAAGTTTGAGATGCCAATTAGACATTCAAATGGAGATATAAATATGTAGTTCAATGCGAAAGTCTGGAGTTCACAGAAGAGATCTTACGTGAAGATAAAAATCTGTGAATCATTGGAGAATAGATAAAAGCATGAAACTGGATAAACTTACCGAGGGAGTAAGTGTAAGTAAAGAAAAAGAGCTGCAAGAACTGAGCCCTGGTGCATTATGAAGTTAAGAAGTCAAAAGATGAGAGGTTCAGCAAAGGAGATGACAAAGAATGGTCTGTAAACTAGGAAAGCAGGTATGGTTGAGTGTGGATGTCCTGGAAGCCAAGTGAAGAGTTTTTAGGATGATCAGGTGTTTATGATCATCATCAACTGTTTATCAACTGTCAAATGTTGCTGATGAGTCAACATGAGGTGTGAGAATTGACTATTGTATCTGAAAACATGGAGGTCATTGGCAACCTTGAGAACAGCAGTTTAGAGTGAAACAGTGGGACATAAAACCTGATTAAAATAGGTTAAAGAAGGAATGGAAGGGAAGGAATTGGAAGCAGCAAATATAGGTAACTCCCAAGTTTTGCAATAAAGGGGGGTAAAGAAATGGAGCAAGAGCTGGAGGGAAAGTGAGCTCAAGGGTCACTTGAGATTTTATTTGATTTTTTTAATTGAGAGAAAAAAAATTCTGGTGTGCTCATATGATGATAGGAATGATCCAGAATTGCTAGATCCCATAGAGAGAGTAATATCTGTGATGCCGAAAATAGAGGGAAGAATTGCTAGAAGATGTCCTTGAGCAGGTGGAAGGAATTGCAACCCCATGCACAGGTGAAGAAGTTGATCTTAGCTAGGACCTTCAACTTTTTATTCCCAGTAAAAGGAAACTAGCATATATAGGCAAAGGTGCTGACATAATTTTAGAGAAACAGGAAGCAAATTCATAGCTGAGCATGGGGTTAACTTAGAAGTTTGAAGAGAGAGAAGAAAACATAACATGTTCTTCAAGGAGTGTCACAATAAATAGACTAGGAGACTATATATTTCTGGGTAAGTTTAGTGTCCCACCTGATTTGGGGTTGGTTCTATGAGTTGAAAGTGAGACCAGATGGAATCATGTATTCCCTGCCCCCCCCACCGCCCCCCGCCAGTTTCATTCAGGTACGCAGGTGCAAGTGTAGAGGAGTTGAATTTAATGAGGAGTGTTGCTTAGATAAGTGTCACAGGAGATTCTAATGAGTAATCCACATACTTTAAGCTGGGCAAGGAAAGAAAGAATACCAGGTAGGTAGATGGTGTGAAGGCGGTAGTATCAATAAAATGGATGTCCTAGCAAGGTGAAGGACTACTAGATTGCAATGTAAGAAGGGGTGAACTGAAAAGATAGGAGGTGGTGGTCAGAGAGGGTGATTATGAAATTGAGATTATGGGAGATTTGCAGTTATTGGTCATGGAAAGGTGTAAGGAACATGGCTTTGCTTTGCTCAAGGATAGGTCAAGGTAAACATCCAGAGTGACTCAGCGAGTTTAGAGTGCAGGTGTATAACTTCACTTGTTATCACAGCTATGTAGCCATAACATGGGATGGCCATCACTTGGCTCTACATCGCTATTGTCTATAGAAGGTATAATTGCCCTGCTGACACTGTACAAGCATGCTCGCACAGAGAGAGAGAGAGAGAAAGAGTCAGTCAAAGCTGTCCATTTTGTGGACAGACAGGAGGGAACCAGGACACAGCTCGGCTTGCTTGTGCCCAGAGAAAGTTAAGTTGCTGACCCTGAAGGCAAGTGAGAATCAGCTGCTGCACAGCGGTCATGGGGGCAGTCTGCTTAAGCAGCTGAGACAGAGCAGACAGTGTAAGAGAGATGCTGCTGAATAAAATCATCTTTCACCTACCTGCGGTCCACCAAGTATTCTTTCAGTGATCTGCTACTCATCCACCCACTACCTCCGGAACTCACCATAGGCTGGAACCCGGCCCTCGACCTGACACAAGGCCTAAGTGTTGTTGATGAGAAATGACTCCAGGTTTTTTGCAGTGCCTTCTATCCACAGTGGAGTCTGTTTCTCTGCCTCTTGAACCTGAGCTGGCTCTGTGATTTGTTTTGACCAAGAGAAAGAGGAAAAAGTGATGTATGACTTCTGAGCTTCAGCCTCAAGAGGCCTGGCAGCTTCTGCTTTGCTAAGCTGTCACCACTACACTAAAAAACAAAACAAACAAACAGAACACCTCTTTGAGGATCAAATACTACTTGGAGAGAGAAGCCCAGCTGGGCCCGGTCTTCAGCCAGCTCACCACCAGAGGCACGAGTGAGCCCAGGTAAGACCAGCACGAGAACTGCTTAGCCAGTTCACAGAATTTTGAGAAATCATAAATTTGTTTGTTCGTTGAAGCCACAGTGTTGCAGTGGTATGTTGTACAGCAAGAGATAACACATTAAAATGTGACTGTGGGAATTAGTGACTGTAGCGGGATCAAAAATTCAATTGTTGGAGTTCAAAGAACTAAGAAGCCAGAGTGTGGGTAGATAATCGATATTTATATTACAATTGCTGGGGATTGAGGCAGGCATAGTGCTGGAGGGAGCAATAGTGTTCCAGGAGTGAACATCTTCAAGAAATAAGTAGGTGCGATTTGGGGCAGTGGAGTCTGATGAAATGAGATTCTAATAGAGATTTTTATGTAGCTGGATGTTTTTACATGTACATACAGACATATAAAACTCTACATGCATTTTATGCATACAAACATACAGATATTTGCACACACAGACATACTACAGATCCACACAGACACACCAAGCATGCAAAATTCATGTAAGCATGCAAAAATACAGTTAAACACCCAAATTCACATACACACACAGGTATATAGAGATCCCCCTAAAGTCAAGTCACAAATAAACAGACATGCACTCACACCTGCATACATAGAAATCCACAAACATAAATGCATGCAAGCATGTAGGCAAATATACAGACCACTACATTGACAGTGATATATACAGACAGCCTCATAGAGAGACGTGCAGAGAATGTGCTTACACACTTCATAGCACACTACCATTCACATGTGTGCTCATCACATGTATATGTACATGGGCACATACACATCAATGCACATACACATAGCTACACATATGTATAATCATAGGCTGTTCACATAAGTACACATGTACCGGAACGCGTAGACACACATACCACACTTGTATCCACACATCACAAAAATAGAAATGCAGCTGTACACACAGATTAAGGCGGCAAAAGATTTGTGGCCAATCATACACATATTTGACCACAGATATGCATGCACACACGTTCATGCACACATCTGACAGCACACACATACATATGCTCACAGGCACACAGAAGCCATGATAGCACCAAAGCACTTGAGAATGCTTTTGTTACATGTTGAAATTATTTTAGATTTAGATTTATGTTCTGCTTATGTTTACCGGGCTGATGGGATGGGGGCTTTTCCAGTGCATAGCAGCTACTGGGCTCCTGCCTCAATGAGGGCTGGGGGAACTGAGGTTGCAATGAGAGCAGACTGCAGAGCCTGTTGAAATCCAGGAGGAAATGGGGATGAAGGAGTAGTTTTGGCTCAGAAGTAGGGCCTTTAAGTGCTTGTAATAGCATCACTTAGTGGCTTTTAGTGCAGATTTGGGAGTCCATTAGAACATAGTTGAAATTCTACCTCTCCCACTTAATAGCTATTACCTTGGAAAAATTATTTCATCTTTCTGAATCCCAGTTTTCTCATATGAGGCTGTCTGTATATTTGCTTACATGCTTGCATGCATTTATGTTTGTGGATTTCTATATATGCATGTGTGAGTAACAGCAACTGCCTTAGAATTATTGTGCATATTAATTGAGTGAATATTCATAAAACACTTAGAACAGCGTGTAGTAAGCTCTTAGTGTTAGCTACTGCTTTTGGTGGTTTTTGAATTAACTCCCTTATCAGACAGCTGGGAGTCCTGAATTCCTATCATTAGTTCCAACTGTTACTTATGGCCTTGTCTTCAGAGATCTCAGGAGCAGAAAGCAGAGGCCTGAGAGAACAGGCCATAGACCAGATGAACTTTGGACTTAGAGGGCTGGGAGAAGGGATGAAGATAGGGCTCAGAAAAATTGGAATGATGGAGACTTTTTGGGAAGGCAGGCCTATGTGATGCATCAGCTAGAAGTCTTAGGTTACAGGGAGCCTAAGACAGAGCTAGTTTTTCAAAGCCTTCTTCCAAAGGCTCGCCTGTGGGATCCCAGTGGAGTCTGTTCCTGGGACTGCTGTGGGAGGTGGACACTGAAGAGACAGTCACTTTCTTACTCATTGTCCCAGGGATGTGGAGGATTAGAACATAGGTGCCTTCCAAGGCCTTCTACCTATTTTTTTAAAAATTGAAGAGAAGCACATGCCATGAGCATACAATTCAAAGCATTTTCAAAAATTGATACATCTGGGTAACTAGCAGTCACATCAAAAAATTTAAAGTGACTGGCGTCCTGAAAAATCTCCCATTTGCTCCCTTCCAGTGGCTGTACACCAAAGTTAATCCCCAGCCTGGTTTCCAACAGCATAGATTTGGTTTGTCCATATTTGTAAATGAAATCATACAGCTTCTCCTCTTTCGCATATGGCTTCTTTTTCTCAAAGGTATGTCCATGAGGTTCCCTCATTGATGCATATTATCAGTAGGTTATTCTTGTTTGTTGCTGTATAGTGTTCTAATATGTGAATCTATACTTTATCTGTTTGCATGTATGTCATTTTGGGGCTATCAAAAATGTATACTATATGCGTTCTAGTACATTGTCATGATCTCAATGTTTGTGTCCCTTCAAAAGTCATATGTTGAAGGGTTAATAGAGGCTGGAAAGGGTAGGAGGAAGGAGGGATAGGGAGAGAGCTGTTAAATGACATAAAATTACAACTAGATACTAAGAAGAACAAATTCTACTGTTTTATAGCACTGCAGGATAACTATAGTTAACAATAATATATATATTCATATAACTAAAAGAGAGGATATTGAATGTCCCAACACAAAGAAATGACAAGTGTTTGAGATCATGGATATGCTAATTTCCCTGGTCTGATCACTACATACTGTATGTATTGAAACATCACTATGTACCCCATAAATATGTAGTTATTATATGTAAGTTAAAAATAGAAAAGAAAGTCTATATTACCTCAAAAAAAAGCTGTATTGTGAAACCTAATCCCAAGTGTGATGGCATTAGGAAGTGGGGCCATTGGAAAGTAATTAAGTCATGAGTGGGACTCTCATGAATGAAATTACTGCCTTGCTCCTTCCACAAATGTGAGGACATAGCTAGAAGGAGCCATCCCAGAAAGTAGTCTCCCAGCAGATACCACATCTGTTGGTGCCTTGATCTTAAAACTTTCCAGCCTCCAGAATTGTGGAAAAATAACTTTCTGTTGTTTATAAGCTACATGGTTTATAATATTTTGTTAATAGCAGCCCAAACAGACTAAGACATACATCTTTAGATGAACACATGCACATACCTTAGTTTTAATTCATACATTTTCATAGCCTTATAAGAGGACCACCCTTAATTGGATCTACCCTTGACCAGAAGCCAGGCATTTGAAATTTATCAGAGGCTATTGCATAGCACAACTCCAGGGGTCACCATTGCCATGTGTTGTACATGGCTGGCACCCCTGGGCCACAATGCAGAGGATCTGGTGCACTTGAGTTGTATAGTGGGCAGCTCTCTACCATTCTGCTTCTCAACCGCTCTCAGGGGCTGTGACATGTTTGTTACACTGAACTCTGAAAATCTTTCCTCAAAATCTCTTTTCCTTTATGTCTTTTTTTTTGGTCTTTGAGTCAGTCATAGGCCCAGAATCACAAGAGCCATGGGTCACTCTAAACAGTCCCAGTAACCCATCAGCTAGTTCTTTGGGAATGAAAGAAAGAAACCAAACAGATACACGAGGTATTTCATCTTAGAAAAACCAAATCACCCTAAATCACAGAACCTTTTTATTTTTTTAAAATACTTTAAGTGGTTATTCAGACACAGCAATAATCTCTCTCACCTACTTTGGCAAGTTTACAAAGGAGAAACTAGGACAAGTGTGGGTTTTGGAAAAGAAATTTTTGTTTAAACACAAGGCCCCAGCTTCTGTCTCTGCCCCAAGCTTCAGGATGGGTATGTGTAATGTGGCTGGGGAGTCTTTTCTCTGGAGGCAAATTGATCTGCTTTCAGTCTGTGCTCAGCCAGTTCTGAGCTAGGCAAATGGCGTAAGTTCTTTAGGTTTCAGTTTTCTCCTCCGAAAAATCTTGCTACATCATGGGTAGGAAGCATGGGAAGAAGAAGAAGACATATAACCATGGACTGAGCAGCCTTCCCTACTAGGCATAAAGCGGGTGGCAGGCCCAGAGGTGGAGAATGGCTGCATTGGCCCTGGGCCTGGCCGGCCCAGCCCAGTGCCCAGCAGGTGGGCAGAAGAGGGAAACCATGAATTCTTACTTTTTGAATGGAAAATACTTTGTCTTGTTTGGGCAATTTATTGTTTTGTGGAGTTTGCAATTGGACAAAACACAGGGGCATGAATCTTTGAACAGAGTTACAAAGAAGCTTCTCCTGAGGGCCCTGTGAGGGCTCTGAAATTGAACAGATGTAACTTCATTCTTGGCTTCAGGCTTTGCCTTTCACCTGTAAAGTGTGTGACACTTTACACTCTGAGTCTTAGTTTTCTTATGTGTAATCTAAAGAATAATTCTGGTCTTACAGGGTTGCTAAAAAGATTACATGAGACCATATGTGATGGTTAATATTAATTGTCAACTTGACTCGATTGATTATGCCTTGATGGCTGGTGAAATATTGTTTCTGGGTGTGTGTCTCTAAGGGTGTTTCCAGAGGAGACTGATGTATGAGTCAGTGGACTGGGAGAGGAAGATCCATCCTCAATGTGGATGGCATCATCCAATCGGCTTTGGGAGTATCAAAAACAAAGCGGTTGGAAGAAGGGTGATATTCAGTTTGGTTTCCTTCTCTCTCTTCCTTATGTAGCAAGGGATCCTTTTCTCTCTTTTTGCCCTTGGACATCAGACTCCAAGTTCTTTAGCTTTTGAATTCTGGGACTTGTCCTAGTGGCCTCAAGGGATAGCAGGACTTCAACTTCAGATTAAGGGCTGCACTGTTTTCTTCCTTAGTTCTGAGCCTATCAGACCTGGACTGAGCTTCTCTTGTACTCTAGCTTGTAGACTGCCTATTTTAAGTCTTTGTCTTTGTGATGGTGTAAGCCAATTCTCCCTAACAAATTCCCTTTCCTATATATTCTATTGGTTCTCTTTCTCCGGAGAACACTGACCAATACACTACACATAGAAAGAACTTTGCACTGGGCTTAGCATATAGTAATGTGTACTTATTAATATCATAGGAATAAAAAAACAATGACTTTTACATTATTTTCTCAAGTATTTCTTTCCTTTTTTAAAATTTTACTTTAAATTCTGGGATACATGTGCAGAACGTGCAGGTTTGTTACATAGGTATATATGTACCATGGTGGTTTGCTGTACCTATCAACCTATCATTTAGGTTTTAAGCCCCACATACATTAGGTATTTGTCCTAATGCTCTCCTCCCCTTTCCCCCTACCCCCTGGAAGGCCCCAGTGTGTGATGTTTCCCTCCCTGTGTCCATGTGTTCTCACTGTTCAGCTCCCACT